GTATTGTGGAAGTTACTGATAAAAAAATAAGCGAAATTAAAATAAATTCAGTCCCAAAAAACACAAAAGACTTGTGTACAAATACTAAAACAATTATTCGCCTCAGGCTCGGTGAGTATCGGGGAATATTCTCCTCGACTTCGTCTCGGCGAATATTCCCCGATAATCACCTCGCCTTCGGCGAATAATTGTTAAATATCAACACGAGTGGAAATTGGGAAAACGAGAAATTGTCTGGAAACTGTTTTAACACAATTTCAAGTTTTCCCAATTTCCACGAGTGTTGATATAACTGTATATCAATACGGAAAAAATGTTTTATATTTGTTTTATAATATAGCACAAAGAAACATAAAGAAAGAAATTTTCCGACGTTTCCGTGTTGACATTGAGTTATATCAAATGAACACGACTCTTAGCCAATCAGCGTTCAGAATTTACAAATGCTATATTATAATTCCTGTTATATAACTGAGGTGAAATGTTATTTACTCTTACCTTGAGAAAAATTGCAAACGAGGACATATGAGAAGGATGATGTTCAACTAAATCACTCAAAACATCGAGAGATGAATCTGCCTCGTTAGGAAAACCACTGCCAACATGAGTTACCAACGCACCGACCACTTCCTGAACAAAAAAATATTAATAAAATACTGAGGTCTCATGGACACATTGGAAAAAGAGGGTCATCATCTACCTATACTATCCAGGCTCGTGGGGTTGATTATAACAATAAAACACAATAAAACTATAGAAATCGTCTTTCTAAAGAACAAGTCACGAATAATGATCATTTTAGTTTCTGATTTGTTTTTGAAAGCCAATCACAAAACATGATCATTTTAGGTAGGTCTTTACCCGAATAAGTAAAATCCATACTATGAAAATAATATTTGCATCAAGAAATCCACAGCATATCCACACTATTTCCAACAAACATTTTGAAAATAATTTCAGTGACACACGATACTCCAATTACCCCTATACATGTCTCGCTCAAACAAGCCCCACCCACCTCGATGAACGCCTCTTGTATAAAGGAAGAATTCATTAAGAAACCCCCTCTAACCTGCAGGTTCATTGTTTACCTGTTTGCAGTACAGATCAAAAGTGAGAAAAGCCTGTACGTATATTTTCTTGGCGTAAGAGGAAACAACGGAATCCGGTGATCGCAGTAGAACTTCGGAAATAACCAGAAGATTCTCAAAATATTCACGTAGAACCTATCAACATAAAAATATGGCGAGTACCCATCAACTTACCAGAAAGTTTTCATTTATTTCTTTATTAAACTTCGACCGTTAACACGAACATAAACAAGCAAAATAAATAAGAAAACGGCTCAGAAACACTACCATAGCGTGAGCCAATTACGTTAGAGACATATTAGCAAATCTAGCTCTCATTTGACCGCCAACTCTCATCAACTCTCATCACAAATTTTGATGAGAGTTTTAGTTTAACCAGGACTTTAAATCTCAACCTTTACCGCAAAGAAAGACAAAAAGCAACTTCACCAAACCTGTCCATAAGATTTAAACGCCATGCTCAGAACATCTTCAGTAAAACAGCCGCTGCGTATTTTGTTTCGCAGTAAACTTTCAACGGGTTTTCTCTTGCTCGTCACAGCATACAGTATAAGAACTGCGAAAACATCTATCACCAAATGTTCTGACGAATTCTTAACATTATCCAGCGTCTGTAAAACCCAAAATACTCCATGTTGAATCGTGACTTACTGTAAGCCCTGGGCAAACTAGGAAACATTGTTGCGGAATGCCTAGAGTGGGCAAACACTAGGAAACATTAGTGAGAAACATAGGGAAACATCAAATGTTTCTGAATTTGCTAGAAAACATTTTTGCTTCTCGGGAAGCAAATTTGTTTCCGCAACAATATTTCCATGGGTCGTGGCAAACAGGGAAACATTTGAGGAAACATCACGAATCGCAAATGTTTCCGCAACAATGTTTCCTAGTTTGCCCAGGGCCGCTATAAGTAATATATACGATATTCAATCAATTAAGTGTTAATTCATGGTTGTTGAAGAATTTCAAAGCGTTTGAATCAAATTGTGTTCAGGAGAAACTTGTACCTTCAGCCATCCATCGGCTATAGATTTTCTAAACCTGATGCTAGCTTTAATAGCATCTAAGGTCAACAAGACGCCATCTTTGGATTTATTTCCTGCAACACTTCAAAGTGAAAGAAAAAGTTACGAATTTTAAGAACTTGAAACATAAGAACGAATAATCTTCCTAGGGGAGCGTTACTACAGGACTAGGAAAGCGATGAAAGCCTCACATAGGACTCTTCTCACATAGGACTGAGGTGAAACTATAACCAGACACCTAAATCGGTTGCAGATATTAAACAGTGATCTCATTGGTTACCCGTTGTTGGGGGTTATTTTGATAACAGAGTAGTAAGTAGTATGTACATGTGCCATATCTGTGATGAAACTCGTGGTCAATAAATGAAGTGGCGATGAAAATACAAGTCATGGATGATTTATTGAACTTAATGTGAAAGTTACCTTTTTCGAATGTTAGATGGAGTTGATGTGGCTGCCGGGATCAAAGAACACGTAAACTCCAAATTATTACGAACTTCGCTTATTGCCTGGTAAGAAAATAAAACGTTGGAATCATTGCGCCAATATCGACAGTAGACAGATTTAGATCGAGGACGCGGACATCAAAGACGACGTGAAAATGGCATCAAAATGGCGTGGCATATCCACACATGGGTACAACACGCCATTTTCACGTCGTCTTTGACGTCCGCGATTTAAATCTGTCTAGTACTGTACGTGCGTCTCTAGAAGTTTTTAAATTGTTCTTCCTTGCAGTGTTACTACAAAAGACAACCCAATGTTTGGTTGAGTCAAAATGAGCTTTGGAGATAAAATACCTAATAGCTGTAACTTTCAAGATTAGATTCATAAAGTTAACAATGAGATCATGATGACGTCACGATGACGTCACAGATATAGTGTTGCAATTAGTACTAAATTAGTTGGTCAAAGTAAGAATTAAGAGGTAACCTCAAAAGCTTCATTGTCGGCCACTGATTGCAAAATAAATTTCACGACCACAGGCAAGTCATCCATCTCCGTGGAGGACAACATATTGATGACCGATTCTCGTACCTGTGGAGTAAAACAAGTATGCTCTGATTTATGCCAGAAAGGCTGGCACATCCATGATATCCATCTCAACGAACTTGGACATGAAAATATAATCGAATCGAGAAAATATAATTTCATAATCATGGCACTTTCATGGTACATGAGAATAAGTTTGAGCATGCTCGATACCTCAGCTAGCAGATCAGCTTTCAAATTAAGATTTGTCAAAGTGTCCAGTATAGCAACTGTTAACTGTGAATTCTGTTTCATGATGTCTCTAATGGTTGAAAATAAACCAGTGTTAGGAGTTGGCTGGGACAACCTGTATTGTGGGGTTTAGAAGGGGGGGGGGGATGGGGGTCCGGAACCCTCACTTTCCTTCAGCACCAATTTTGTAATTCTTTCAAAATTTCAACTTACATTAATTCTTTTGCAATATCAACATGCTCATTGTCGTCAAGGATTTCTGGGATGGCTGTGATTATTTCTCGCTGAATTGACATATTTGAGATGCTGATGATTTCTAATAATTTATCACTTAAATCCTAGAAATGGAAAATTCATAAAATAAGTCAAGTTCATTGTGGAAGAGAATTAAACATGAGGTCTCAGACAAGGTAAATTAAACTGTTCACTGAAATAACATTAAGGAAAATACCTTTGGATGAGCAATTCTATCCAGCCATTTAAACTGATTGATAACCAGTCTTGGTACATCATGTTCTGAAACTCTAACAAGGTACCACATAACACGTTAATTTCTACAGTATTATTACCAGGGACACCGGAACTGGGGTGGGCAGGAGGGGCAGCTGCCCCTCTTGCCTTTTGCTAGGGGGGGGGGGCAAGGGGGGCAGAAGTGCCTTTTAGTTGTAAAATACTACCTGATAAATCACATTTCCAGTGATGCTTTTTTGGGCAAAATCATGAGATTCAGGTAATTTATAGGCCCAGAGAAAGTTAATTTACAAAAATAAGTGTGAATTTGGAAAAGAATGAGGTTAATTTAATTTACAAAAATTTTAGAAAATTTTAGGAGTTTAGGAATTTTTTTTTGATAAATGGAGAAAATTGCCTTATGGGGGGGGGGGTCTCCCAAAAAAATTTCATGTAAAAAAAATAAATTTTCAGGTACATTTAGAACTTTTGATCTATAGAGGTGCCCTTTGGTGTGCGTCTGCCCCCCTTTGCCTTTTTATTCTTCTGGCGTGATTATTACATTGTACAATTAACTTGTCATGATTTACAAATGGTGGTAACAATACCATTGATTCAATACCTGTTATTATCATCAGAAAACTCAGGAATTTTTTCCAACAAAGCATTCGCAATCAATGGCTATCAATTCAAAAGAGAGTAAATTAGTTTAATTGTCAATAAAATTGTCAGTTTTAAAAACTTTTTCGATGCTGCACAGAATTCATTTACAAGGTTAATTTTTCTTCAGTACATTGATCAATTTACCTGTAGTGAGTCAATTCCCAAAAGTATTCTCATTAAACTGTCTTGTGTTGGTCCACGAGTGCTAGAAATGTATATGTTAACCCATTAAGTTATATTGCACCACAATGCACCCTACTTTATTATTTTACTCTAACTTCAGATGATTTTACCCATCAAGGCAAGAGTACCAGAGCTTAGAAGAAGCAAGTACCGGTACCAAATATTAGTTGATGATATGCACAAAAATTACAGTTACCTCTCTTCACAATCTTCAGAAGTTGATGTTGGCAACAAGGAAAGACAGAACCTTAAAAAATTGAGCAAATGCTACATTACAGTTTGGGTGAAGTGGCGCTTGCAGTGTGTACTAATGTCAAAATATTACCTTTGTGGGTCCTCAATATAGCTTACTAAACCTTCAACAAACTCAGCCAGAACCTTAACAAAATGATCACACATAAAACATTAGGGACCGGGCATAAAGTAAAAGGGTGGGTGGGCTGGGAAAATCATATATTTGGTGTCTGCACTTTTGGTAGCCCACCCCTTAATAGCTGCACGAAAATTTGTAGCCCACCCTTAAACTGGTGCTGAAAAATTATGACCCACCCCTTCAGGGGTGGAAAAAATGGGCGAGCACGCGAGCACTGCTCGCAGGAAATGTTAAACAGCTGCAGGAAATTCGTTTGAATGAAGATTTGCTATTGAAAATTTGAAGGAAATCTTAACACCCATGTCCCACTGTGGGCGCAACAACATATGGTTGACAGACATTATTCCTTGAATTTAAAGCCATGGTCAGCTAGAACACTATATGTTTATGCACATGCAGATTTAGCACAAAAATACTCCGTTGGTCTGCAGGAAATTTTTGTCTCGAGGTTGTGCTCACAAGAAGAAAATTATTTTTTCCTGCCCTGCACCCCTTTTCCAATTTTTTCCGGAACATTTTTTTTCGGACAATAACTTTCCCCCCCGTCAACAACTTTTTTAGGTAAAAAATTTTCCGGACAAGTACATTGCAATTGCTTTCTTTATCTTAATTTTTCATACCAAATTTCGGTACTTAGCCCAAAAAACACATATCTTGTTCTTTGGGTGGAAATTTTTAACACAAAAAAATGACCCACCCTTATGATTGCGCTTAACTTTCGATGACCCACCCCTTCAACCATGCTCAAAAATAGTGACCCACCCCCTATTTTTCCCAGCCCCCCCCCTTTTACTTTATGACCGGTCCCTTATCATACATGTATATACATTTTTTCATAATTGGGACATTCCACAGAGGAAATTGGAAGCTATAACCCCCCTATCCTCTTTGAATGTTCTAATACACAAATTTTCTTGCCTCTGGACAGCAAATATTTCCTCCATGGGGGGAGTATGGATCTTTTCTGGAACAGCCTATTGCCATGCCACTAAACTAATTGAATTGATATTATTTTAATTAATTAATAAAACATTTTAATACCTGAGGATAATGCTGATGCCTTTTTAATGCATTGTAAAGGTTTCTTTGAAACATAGTCTGATCCAATTCTAGGAAAAAGTCATTTAAAAAGACATTTGACTCTGAGAAAAATCCTGGATCTTGACTGGTCAATTAGACTTGTGACTTACTTATTTTATTTTGCACTTCTCCTGATGTCAGAGTTACACCAGCTTTAGTTAGCAGCTTTCCAAATGTGGTCTGCAACACCTTGTTGATGACATCATTGCTACGTGCGACATTTTCTTTACCGCTCCTTCGTTTCTTGCCAGCTGAAGTAATTATGAACAATGTGTAAAAAAACCTTACTCTCCTGACATGCATGATCCTTCAAAGACTCATCATCTAATTACAGTATCTGTTTCACAGATCACCAGTCTTATTATAAAATACATGCAAGACAAACTATTTCTAAACAAACTAGCTAAGAATAAAATGATGTATACTGGTTCTAGGAAACATCGAGCTAAGTACCACTACTTTTCCGAGTTCCTGACGCCATCTCCCCAAGTGGGCCAAACACAACAGGTTACCCTAGGGACATGGATTCTCATTGGAACACGAGGCAATGTAGGTAAAGACGATAATAGTGATGGCCTCTCTTTAGGGCACTTGCTAAGAACATGGCAGACTGAAAAAATCTCTTTATATGCTAAATTAAGACCACACCCTTCTTATTGGGCAAAGGGACTCCACACACCCTTAATGTTTTAACCCCCTTGGTACGGCGTGAAGGATATACCACAATATCATTCCCCGAGCCTGCGATCCTCAGGAAGGAACGCGAGGCTCTGGGATAATCCGTTTCAGGGAGGAATCTGATTGGCCGTTGAAATGAATGCGCAGTTCAATCTTAGCCAGGATTCCTGGCTTCCGGCAACAGATTATCCCAGAGCCTCACATTCCTTCCCATGGATCGCAGGCTCGAGGAAAAAGATTGGATATACCACTACCTGAAAAAATAAACTAGGTACCACTACCTGAAGGTCTGCTTATATTTTTCACGTAGAATTAAAATAATTAAAAATTCATATTTAATATATATCAATCACTGCAAATCATAAATAAAAAACAACGAACCAGAAGAATCTAGCTTTTCTGTGTTGGAATTTCTTTTCCGTGACTTCAACATGATAATCAATTATTTACAAGAACAAAAAATATCATAAAACACAACTTTGAACTACATAAACGCAATATAACAAAATTCACAGCAATCTGCCGCCATCTTGTTTTCAATTTCCCGCCAAATTCGTCGGAACCATCGTAATCAGTCGACCGATGTTCGGAATTTATATTTTTGACCTACGGGGTCCAGGGGTATGCCCCCTGGCAAATTTTGAAATTTAGAGCCTATAAAACGCGATTTCGTGCATTTTGGGGTGAGATTTTACAAAATTCAGAAGATTATAACATCATAAATACACAAAAAATAGTACATGGCTACGCCACTGGACGCAACAGTTGCCAAAAACGTCAATATTATTGTTACAAGAAATTCCTGTAAACTTTTGATGAATTTTAAAGTTTCAATCAGACCTTACCTGTCTATAATGATATTACCTTGGGAAAGTACAGTACATGTAACTAAGCGTAATTGAAGATTTTTAGATTAGGTTGGACCTTTGTTGAAGCTTTACCAATAAATATGATACAATGACATGTCTTGTGCTTTAAAATTCTTGTTATGGACTTTGTTAACACTTAATTTGGCTGACGAACTAGTGAAAATAGTCTCGATGTTATATTAAAAACATAAACTCAAGGCAACATAACATAGAAAATATACATTATATACAAAACAGAACTCAGAAGCTAACAGGTTTCAATGTACAATTTACTGGTAGTTCTTTAACCTTTGACAATAGTTCTATTTATTATATAAACATAAGTGTTATGTAGAGTTTTTGGCCGCTGAGAAATTAAACAAAAAAAAGAAAAAACAAACGCATTGCCACGGACGTTTTATTGTTTGATGTAAAACGCATTGCCACGGACGTTTTATTGTTTTTCACTGAATTTTGTTTATATAATAAACAGAAAAATACATGGGTGCTTGGAAATACCAGATTTATTTCTCGTGTTGAACATGATATCTC